TTAGGGCTGTTGTGCATAGGGTCGCTATGAGTCGAAAACGACTCGGCGGCACATAACAACAACAACATAGCTTATTTACCTAAATAACAGTAGCCTAACACACTAGGGTCAGAAAATGAACACAGAGAAAGGTGAGGGGAAAGGGAAAATTTAATAAAGGGGAGGACTACAGCAATAAAAAAACTTAATAAAGAAGAAACCTGTTTAAAGACTAGCAAATCCAAGATTAATGAAGAGTACATCTTGAGAAAAGAGGAAAAATAAGGGCACTGAAGGCTGAGGCTTTCCATTCCCTTTGAGGCACTCCACACTAGCTTTGGGATGGTTCACTCACCAATATTTGCAGGAAAAGGAACTTCGTGCACAGCAGGGTCCAAATTGATCACGTATGGTGGACGGGCTTGGCCATACAAGTATCCTGTAAGCCTCTGCAGAGACATGAAGAGGCAGGTAAGTAAGCAAAGATAACTTCCAATGATTTGTTGCCTATGACTGAAGGGTTTTACACCTGTATGTCTATCTAAAATATCCAACCCAAAATTCAGCTCTCAGTTCAAACTTTTAATATATGTCTAATATAGAGCATCCTATTACACGCTATCACTTCACTTGTTCTTGAGGGTGGGGGTAGGGCAGAATATCTGTGTCCCTCAATAAAATACTAAACCAACTACAACAGAAACCTTAACAACCCGTTTATCACTGTATCCTCACTGTCTGCAAAATGACAGGCGCTCAAAAAATAGCTCTTTTGACAAATCTTAGAGAAAGCCCGCGTGCTAGCTCTGAAGAAATTGCTGGAGTTTCCTGAAGTCCTTGCCATAAAGAAGTGCACAAGTATATCGATAAAACAATTCAGGACAACGTAGTAAACTGTACGCACCGAACACTGAAATGTACGCAGAAGAAAGCCTTAATTAAAGCTCGCAGGCTTGGTGGGAAGGAAATGCACTGCCAAACCTAAAACTTGAGGCTCGAATCCACCAGCTGCTGCGCGGAAGAAGGGCAATCTCCTCCCATGAGATTAACTGCCTCTGAAAATACTCTGGAGGTTCAGCTATGAGTCAATTCTGACTCAGCAGTATATAACAGCACACGATACAGTCACGAGAAGGTACCAGAGCTAAAGTCCCACGCCAGAAAGGAACGCTAAGGTACCCTTTAACTCCGGCGAGACCTTCCTCCCCTTCAGTTAGGTCTTCGCTCTCCACAACCTTTCATATACACCTTCCAACACGTGTGCCATGGAATTTACCTGTACAAAAGTTGTTTTTCCCGATCCTGCCATTCCCAACACCAACAGGCACACCGGGGGTTGTGAAACTCCTGTAGCGTGCTGTTCAGACACAGTCGCGGGAGCCGCCATCTTTCTCCTTAGATCCGCCAACATACAACAGAGAATAGAGCGACTTCCGGGACTCTCTGGCCTTGGGAGAGAGCGTAGAGTTGAATATATAGGCTAGGGAAGGTGGGCGGGGCGAAGGATAGGCGGGGCCAACTACTGACAGGGGCAGAGAAATGGCTCAGCGGGGCAACCTAGAGGCGGGCTAAAGGGAACAAGGAAAAGGGGCGTTCACCAACGCAGTTTAGGGTCTGGGTTGAGGAAACGTTTGTCTGCAGAGGGATAAATGAAATGGTATCCCAAGATGAAGGCTCCCACAAAAGGAAAATGAGGAGAGGGGATCTCTTTTTAGGCCTCCAAGGAAAAGAAAGCAGAGCCTTGGGAGAACTGACTGCTGGAGCTTTCCCTGAAGCGGAGGCTAAAATGTCTAGGGCTGCAAGGGTCCAGGCTGAGCCGGGTTACATCGCTGGGGGTTGCAGGACAGCACCGAGAACAACTGAGCACAAGCCAGAAAAACTGCGAGAATTGAACGAGTTTAGGCACCATTCTCGCAAGTCATCGGCCCTGGACAGCAGAGCTTCCCCCTCGACCATTGCCTTCAGTGAACTAAGCAGGCAAAAACGACTTGAAGTTGAATGCTTCGATCCCTGGCACACGTGAGTTTAGGAGAGATTTTCCTCTCACTCTCAGCAAAGAAAATGGAGAGAATGCCAAGTCTTTACCACTCAGTCTGTTCCTGTGGGCCTTTGTTGTTGGGTGCAGTCACAGGGACCCGTGTACAACAGATTAAAACCTTGGCCCATGCGCACCTTTCTTACAGAGTTAACAAGCCCATCTCCCTTGGCCCACTGTAGCAACTGACACTTATTAATCAGTTGAGCAACTCAAGTTCTCTGAATCAATTTTCTCTTTAAAATTGAGTTACTGTTTCACAGGCTTATACTGAAGCCCATATTGTTGTAAACGGTTGGCCCTCATCTTTGTTATTAGATGCCTTGGAGTCCAGGGCGACTCATAGCAACCCTATGAACAACATACCAGAATCCTGTCCTATCATCGCTGGTACACTTGAGGCCATTGCTGCAGTTACTGTGTCAGTCTATCTCGGGGCGGGGGTAAGGGGGGGGGGCCGGAGCGGGTGTCTTCTTCTCTTTAGCTGATCCTCCACCTTGATGTTCTTCTCCAAGGAATAACCTCTCCTAGCAGCATACCTGAAGAATGTGAGATGAAGCTTTTTCATCTTTGCCTCCAAGAAGCACTCTGGCTGCACTTTCTCTAAGACTTAACTATTTGTTCTTTTGGCAAGCAGTGGGATATTCCATATTCTTCTCCAATATCACAACTCACTCCTAGCAATATTCCTTTGGAAAGTATTGTTAGTTGCTGTGAAGTCGATCCCCTCACATGGTAACCCCATGTGTGTCAAGAGTAGATCTGGAAACATACAAACAAAAAGAGGAGAACTGTTCTGCAGGTTTTCAAGGCTCTGATGTTTCAAGAGCGGATGTCTCTGGGTGGTTTTGAACCACTTTCATTTCATAGTACTCTCTCTCTCATTGTCTTCTACACAGAAGCAAGGAATAATAGCTAACCCTTAAGCAGAATTTTGAGACTATACATTTCATTCTATGAGACTGCTCATCTTTCTCCCTCTCAGGGAGCCACTAGTGCATTTGAACTGTGAGAGAGTCAAGGCATATGGGTTAACACCACAACTCCCTATGGACTACACCATCAAGGACTCAGTGGGATTTCCAAAGTGTAAATAGGAGATTCATTGCTCTCCTAAAGAGCAGTTGGTGGATATGAAAGGCACGTTTTTGGGTTGGCAGCCCAACTCCTAACACACTGGGCCAACAGAGCTTCCTTAAAACCTATTATCTGGCCAAATATATTGTGTTCATCAAAGTAGACATGTACCTTTTTTTTTTTAAGCCAGTCAAATTCAGCTGGGCGGGGGGGAGGGGGGGAGGGGTGTATACCAACTTTAGTTGCACCAATGTTAATAGTTTCTGATAACCCACTACCATCAGACCAACCAACATGTATATTTTTTAACTTCTTAAATTTTAATGACAAATCCAATGGAGGAATGTATAATTTTTTATTTTATTTCTTCAGGTTTGCTGAGGACTCTAGAACGCATCTTCCACCATATCTTCATCTAATAGATAGTCTTTTCAAACATGAAACACTAAAAAAGGATGAAATGAAGTTTAAAAAAATGGCAATGAAGGAAATCATGGAGCTGAGCAAAAAAATAAAACAAGCTCAAATCCAGCAGGAACAGCTCCAAAAGGACAACAGGCAGCTATACGCTGAAAAGATACTTGTCCAGGCTGAAGACAAACTCATTATGGAATATCTGACCAACAAAACTGAGGAGTACAAAAAGCAACCCAAAAAACTATGGAATGACTATGTACAAAAATGTGAGGAGATTGAACCCTGGAGGCAGGAAACTGCTTCCAGATATGCAAAAAAAACTTCAGTGCTTAAAGCAGAGATACTGAAGAAGGAGAAGACACATGCCCTTTTGAAGGAACAGTTAAGGGCATTGGAGGACATTTTACTATTAAAGGAAAAGCAGAAGATAGAGATTCAGACATTGGAGGAAGAGAAAAGGAAAATCCAAGATGAGACAGCTACAAAGGCCCGAGAAGTGCAGAGACAGCTTCTCCAGGAAAAAGCATTCCTAGAAAAACAATTGAATCAGCCAGACACAAGCCAGCTGGGAAAGGTAAAAAGGGAGCTTCAGAAGCATAACCAGACCTTGGAGTTGGCAGCGAAGCAGTATATGTTCGAGTTCTCCCGTGGCCTCCACATAAAGGGACAACACTTACAAAAGGATCTGCAGCAGCTAATTCAGCAATCCCAAGAGCTGATGGCTTGTCAAAATCAGTTGAAAAACAGCAAACAGCAGCTGCAGCAGGAACAGTGGTATCTGGAAGGCTTATTCCGGGGCAGGCAACGGATGCAACGCAGGCATAGTTGCTGCGTAAAAGGACAGGATGCTCCAAAGACCCACACTGATCCCCTCCTCTAGGCACCAAATCAAAGATTAATCTCAAATAATTCCCAAAGTAACTGACTGTGCAAGTGCCCTTAGGTTGTAGAGAAACCTAGCTTGGAAAGTTTGGAGATCTGATTACCATGGCAAGATGACCACCATAATGTGTAGGAATAGAAGACTCAGTGGATTTGGGGGTTTTTCCAGCAGTGTTGCTTCTTACTTATGACTGGCTTCCCTTACCAGTTCTCTAATTAGCCCTTGCTGACATAAGGGATGCTCTAAAAGCAGACTTTGCAACCCTAACCTCTCCACCACCTGCCAAATACCCTACACTTCAAACTTTCTCAAGAAAATAAACTTGAAGTGACAAGATTTACTTGGTCTGCCAGATTTCAGCTCTGTGTATAACCCAATGTTTATCTTCATTCCTTTTGGACCATCTCATCACAAAAAGGCAAAGACAGACACGTGTTTTTAAGCTCTTTTTTGTGTGAGTGGTCAGGTAGATCTCTCCAACTCTGCCCCATGAAAAGTCCTCTGGTTAATGGCAAGTCTATTAAGTGGAATGGCCTTTTTTCTCAAGCTAAGCCTCTAGCTTTAGATTTCAATGTACTGAGAAACTAAGATGATGAAATGGACATGTATTAGGTCAACTGTTGCTTCTGAAAATTTCTTCTGTGAGCAAATACCTATAGAGCATCAACATATGACTGAATGCCATTTATGAATTTATAGCAAAAGAAAATGGACAGTTTCAAGAGTCTTGGGATCTCCATTATTAATCATTTCCTTAGCTACATTGTAAATCCTATGACAAGGAAAATGAATGAATTATATATAGGTACTTTGGTTTTGGCTATGTATTTTCTTACTACATGTACATTGAATCATATATGAATCTTTTATAATTAACACATATATTTATGTCCACTTTTACAGAAGTGGGAATAGTATTTTAAATTAGTTTAAGTTCCTGTGTCGTTGCATTTTTTATGTTTAGACCAGAGAATTAATTGTTGAATCTTTTTTTTTTAAATATT